AGATGGGCACACAACCCTAGAGTCTGTCAAGACTGGCCCGTACGGGCAGGGGTACCTTTACCTTTACCTTTATAATTGTTGTGAACTGCTCTAATATTCTCCCCACCCCGAAATCGTGATATGTTAAGTATGTTTTGTAAATCAATTAAGGACAGGTCTGTATAGGAGAAGTTGTTATTTCAAATATCCAGCTCCCAAATTGTTTACCGCTTTAAACAAAAGAACCTCATACTTCGGCTTGGTGATAAATTGGCAGCTGGTGCAGTTCTTTCAGAAGTGATAACTCATGCTTGCTTTAAGATTGCCCTCCTCATCTACTGCGTTTTGCAGTTCCTGCAGCTTCCAAACCTACTTTTAAGGGCAGCTCCACACAGAGTATGTTACAGTAATCTAGTCTTCATAGAATTCTAGGGTTGGAAGGGACCACAAGGGTAATCTGGTCCAACCCTGTGCAATGCAGGATTAAGAGACGCATGCTCTACTGACTGAGCAATCACAACTGGTAACCAATGCTTGGGCCACTGGTGCCAGGTTATCCCACCAGCTGAAGCTGATGGAAGACGCTTTTAGTCAACATGGCCACTTGGGCCTCTTGTCACAGTGATAGATCTAGAACAGGCATAGGCAAACTCTGGCCCTCCAGATGTTTGGGACTACAATTCCCATCATCCCTAGGTAACAGTACCAGTGGTTAGGGGTGATGGGAATTGTAGTCCCAAACATCTGGAGGGCCGGAGTTTGCCTATGCCTGATCAAGAAGCTGGTTCAGTAAGATACCAGGGTCAGTGGTATCAAAATCCACTGGAGGATAAAGAAGTGCTGCACTGACTGATCTACTTCTGAAACCAGGCTAGATTAGAAGGCTTCCATAAGTGAGTATTGGAAATAATAGGAAGGCTATTACTCTACCACATGATTATGTTCCTGTGCAGCAAGACCCCACCCTCGAGACCACAGCTGGGAGGGTAGGGATTGGATATCATCTGGGAAATTCGCAGTTGTCATGAAGGACTAGGCTACACAGTGCGGTACAAATGACAGAGTTTCCAGCTCTGGGGATTTCAGGTGTGTCTCCAAGGACACTTCTTTTAAACTTCAAAACACCAAGCTCCCATGCACCCCAAAGCCAGGTAAATCAAAAGACAAATCCAACCCCACATATTCCAGGAATATTCCTCCAAGTGACTTGTTCCGCTTTTGTGATGAAGAAGCTAGTCATTTTACCTGTAATACCATACGTTAACATTTCAGGAGCTCTGACGAAAGCTATGACCCTTTTCTGTTGAGGTTCCCTACCCTAAATATATTAACTTAAACCCTTTTATGTACAGGGCAAATGCAGCCCACCCTTGTCCCCCAGTGTCGAAATATGCTAAGTGCCTGACCTACTTGCCTCCTAAAAATGTGGTTCTGGTGCCTAAAATTCTGAACTGCTTCTTCAGCTCTGTGCAGCGTTAATAACTTGAATTTGGTTTGTTGGCTTCTGAACAATTGGTTGCTGGTGACTCTTTGCTGCCCTGTTTTGTCCACCAGCAATTGTTTGTAGATAAATAGTGTTGGCATGTGGTTCATTTTGCAATGTGGTTATTAGGCAATTTAAGAGACCAGTTCATTCTGGTGTTTTCTAACTAATCGGCTTACACAATGCATCTCTTTTTCCTCCCACCCCACACCCCTGCTTCCTGGTCTTGCTTAGTGCATTTGCCGCCACACAGCCGTGGTGTTTCTGCATGTCCCTCTTTCTGTGGCTTCAATATTAAATAAACTTGTATGGTCTCAATATAGCTGCCTTTTTGAGGAAATTGGTAGATGGAGGTCATTTCCCAAATGTGAGGACTTACAAGGTAAATAAATGAAAGCCAACAGTCCACTTTGAAAGGGGAAACCCATCTGTTAGATTTTGTGTGTTTTTTAAATCACATTTGAGAGAATGGAATATTTCCCATTACAGTAAGATATCAAAATGACTTAAGAAACCAATAATCCCACAATACTGTGATGGTTTCAGATTTAAACTTTGTGTTCACTTTGATTTTTTTATTTAGTGCTAGAAGGAAAGCCACAGTCATTTCACCATAAAATGCAAAGTATTTGCTACCTTTGGACACAGACTGTAAGGAAAAGTCTTCTTTGTTTTCCATGACATATACACTGTATAAAGCAGTGACATTTCTTTTGAAATGTCTACCTTCCATGGTAAAGGTAAAGGGACCCCTTACCATTAGGTCCAGTCGTGGCCAACTCTGTGGTTGCGGCACTCATCTCGCTTTATTGGCTGAGGGAGCCGGCGTACAGCTTCCGGGTCATGTGCCCAGCATGACTAAGCCGCTTCTGGTGAACCAGAGCAGCGCACGGAAACGCCGTTTACCTTCCCGCCGGAGCGATACCTATTTATCTACTTGCACTTTGACGTGCTTTCAAACTGCTAGGTTGCCCCTACCTTCTGATCAGCAAGTCCTAGGCTCTGTGGTTTAACCCACAGTGCCACCCACCTTCCAGGGTATGTCCCTTTAAAACTTACAGCCTCTCTGGTTGCCCTTACTTCCAAGCAACCAAACTACAGAACTCACCCCACAGTTCACAATGCTCTGAGCAGACCAAACTCCAGCTAGCAGTAGTAGACCAAGGATTTTTTTAAAATTAACACCTAACCAGCCTAATCTCCCGACTCCTAAAGGTGTTAAGAACACCTTCCTAACTAGCAGCAACTCGGCCAATTAGTTACACTGGGCAGTTTGTCCCTCAAGGCTCCTAGGTGCAAACTTCCTAAGTATGGAATATTGTCCCTAGATTTCTTTGTCCCTACAGGATGCTGCATCGAGGTTTTTAAGCCATGGATGCTTTAGCTGAGATTCCTGCATTGCAGGGGGCTGGACAAGATGACCCTCGGGGTCCTTTCCAACTCTACAGTTCTGTGATTCTATGTTGACTCTACATTGGGTGACACTACCTGTCAACAGGACTGTCTCTCAACAATCTTCGGTCGTTGATGACTTCTTGGGTTTCTGCTTTGCTTTTGCAAGCAGAAATTTTGTTCTAAATTGCAAGATTGAATACTACCAGGGAGGAAAAGCCATTGACACTGTATATGGTGTAATCACTTCTTATCTGGTGGTATGAAAGTGTTACTGGTTTTGCACACAGTATAGCCGTGGTACATGCAAATGCATTTCCCGTAACCAATACTGTTTGCATATCACCAGGAAGTAAATTTACTGCACCATACACATGCGTGACCGTATCAGTGCTTCCTAGCAGGAATTGGTAGGTATTGTACTTCTCTCTAGCCCTTCCAAAGCCAAAACTTGACTACAGAGAACTGTACATCAAGCATGGGCTTGGCACACTGGAGAGGAATATAGGAAGCTGTGCCATATGAGGTCAAGCCACTGGTCTATCTTGCATCATATCATTCACATGCACTGACAACAGCTCACCAGGGTACGACCAGCATCTCTCCCAGCCCTACATGGGCATACCAGGAATTGAAGCTTTGACCTTTTGCATTTCAAGCTTGTACTTTGCAACCGAGCCCTGGCTCTTTGTGAGGCAGTGCTCAGCTGGTAGGTGGATAATACACATGACAGCTGAGTTTTTAGCTGGAAAAGCCTAGTAGTGAGCATCTGTGCTTTTCACAAGCTTAATTGAGCTTACAGTTGGCAGGTAGTTTTGGCAGCCTCCAAGTATACTGCTGCAGGAAGGATCTGTACTGATGCATACTCAGAGAGCTCTGATAACTTGTCAAGAGTTGGAACCAATAAAATTGGTCGCATGCACGAGGCTTCTTCATCAGTTCCATTTCTATCTACATGGACAAAGGTGTATTAATTATGTCACTGCTGCTGCTAATTTTAAGCCACATTAACGAGCAAGGAATTGGAAGCTTGCATTCTAGGAAGAACAGTTGAGAGCAATCATCCATGTGCATTGATTTCTTGCGAATATCTGCTGTTGCTTCAGTCATAGCATCACTAAGCAGGGCTGGGAAAATGTCAGTCCTATGCTGGAGTATTTTACTTTGATATTACAAGCTTGATGCTTAGTAGTAATTGGCTATGGATATTTTCATGCCCTCTTCTGTGCCATTTAAATACGTGTCAAGTAGAAGGAATTGATCCATTCAAGAATTTCACCAGATTCCAGATTACTTTGCACATTTATTGTGCAAGACCGATTGATGTTATTTCTGTGTAGGCTTGGATTTAATCACCTACAGTAAATCTGTTTTGAGGCAGAGCTGTTGGACAATTTATACGTGCTTCTTTTTGTTGTTGTGCAGCAGTGATTGCTGGTATTTAAACAAAGAGCGCAAAAACTGAAAGTAAAACAAAGCAGGAGTCATATTGTCCCCTGTTCCCTTTGCAATCGAGAGACGAAGGCAAGAGGCAGTCAGGAAATGGACTGCAGTGAGATAGACAATAAGTGGAATAATTCATATGCAGCTGACTTCTGGAAATGATGAGAATCTGGAGCAGTGTGGCTTTACCCAAGTGTTCTTGGAAAGACACATGAACATCATTTTGCTTTGTTTTCAGATAAAGCAGGGAATTTTAGAAATTCTCCTGTGACTTATAAATATTGTCAAAATAGTCTTCAGATCAAGAATTGCCTGTAGTGGAGCTTCTTATTCCCAAGAACATGCATTGCAAAACTGGCTGGCAATCGCATGCCATCATAGTTAGTTTTCTGCACCTTTGAGGTACTTTGCAGTTTGCCCCTACAGTTACTGGGGAAATGGACGGTTTAATGCAAACGAGAAGCATGCTAGCGTGTGTGGCTCAAATGTCTCTGGTTCAGCTTAAGTCCTGTGAAATGGGAACTTTTAAAGAACATTTCTCACAAGGTTGCAGGAGATAAGATTGTAAAGCATTCTAGATCTTAAAAGTGCTTTCATAAACATAGTGCTTGAGTTGTGGTAACACTGTGCAATCTGCTAACTGTTCTCCTGCCGAAGGGATGTTCTAACAGCCAGTGGTTTTCTTCTTCTTCTCCTCCAACAGGTCCTGTCCTTCCTAGCCTTCTTGTGTGAAGAAATCGTGCAACATTGCAGCAGTTGCGGTGGCCTTTACTTCTTTGAATTTGTCAGCTGCAGTGCCTTCCTCTTGAATATCCCAATCCTGGTTACATATTGCACTTCTTTGTACGAGAGGACAGGGAAGGAGAAAGTAGCAACTGTGGTAAAGGGAGCCGCTTTTTATATATGTTATGAATATCATCATTTTTAATAGCCATAGGCATGCTCAGGATTAGTCAACAGGGCCTTGCTTCAGCGCTTGGAGGAGCCTGGAAAAGTTGCAGTTAGGAAAATCCAAACTTGTATTGGCAACTTAAACATGTCATGCTAATTTACTGAGAATGTCAGCTGGTGGGCAGGGCATAGAACCTGTCCGACAAGGAACAGGGATGGCAGCTTATGTTTACGGGGTCTATTGCCACCACCCTAGGGGGTTGCCTGTGGAACAATGACACTGCTAGGACAACTAGGCGAGATAGGTAAAGGTAAAGGACCCCTGACAGTTAAGTATAGTCGAGAACGACTCTGGGGTTGTGGCACTCATCTCGCTTTACTGGCCGAGGGAGGGAATGTTTGTTCGCAGACAATTTTTCCGGGTCATGTGGCCAGCATGACTAAGCCGCTTCTGGTGAAACCAGAGCAGTGCACGGAAATGCCGTTTACCTTCCTGCCGGAGTGGTACCTATTTACCTACTTGCACTGGCATGCTTTTGAACTGCTAGGTTGGCAGGAACTGGGACCGAGCAACAGGAGCTCACCCCTTCACGGGGATTCAAACCGCCAACCTTCTGATTGGCAAGCCCTAGGCTCAGTGGTTTAGACCACAGCGCCACCCACGTCCCAGGCAAGATGTGTAGCAGTGCCTATATTAAGGGTGGGGTTCCTTTTTCAAATCAAGGACCACTTCGCTTTCTTGGTTAATCTTCCAGGGGTTACATGTTAGCGGATGGCGTGGCTAGAGACAACTGTGGGTGGAGCAACCATTGTGGCCTTTGCACAGTTGGCGACATTCCAGGGGCTTCTAAATGCACACACCGCCACCCTTCATTCCTGCAAGCAAGAAGCATTATTGTTACAGTTCAAAGACACATTCCAGCCAGGCAAAAGCCCCAAAGGCGGGCAGGAAAACTAGAGAGGGTGGGGGGTATGGTCTGGGAAGCAGGCGTTTCATTTCATGACCCGTACCTAAGGTTCTCCACTCTCATGTGTCATGTTCCTTTGTTTGCATGGGTTTTACAAAAGCCTTTTATATCTCCAGAAGTTACCAGTTCAAGATGCATTTAAAGCATCTTAGTATGCTTTACTACAATGCATCACTAGTACACATTTTTCACATCCTAGCTTCCTTTTGACATTTTCCCAATGAATACCATCAGCACTGAAGTTTTTGCTTCCTAATTTTCTCAGCTTGGTTTTGGTGTCTATATAGTACTTATCTTTGCAGTTGGTGGAAGAGATTCTGTTGAGCATTTACAGTTAAAATAGTTGGAGGGCAAGAGGGGCTTTACTTTGAAAGCAAGGATGACGAACTGGTCACAGTGGCACACTTTGAGCTGGGTGAATGCAGTTTCAAATTGCACTCAGCCACAAATGTACTGAGTTGCCCGGAGCAAGTCATTAGCTCCTGACTTCACTTTCCATCTGTAAAATGGGAATATTAGTGATCTCCCTTGGCAGGTTTCTTTGAGGGACAGCAAGGTAAAGGATGAGGCATTTCGTGCATCAGAAGTGCAGTAGTACTATAGAAATATTTATATGCATTATAATTTTAATTGTGTGCTAGGAAAGAGGAGCAAAAAAACAAAGAGTAAATAATAATTCTGAAGCTACCTTTCACTTTTTTTTCTTTTGTAGGATTTCTTGATTGTTTCAATAGTGGCGGTCTTTTTCCTGCTAGCTTCGATTGTGTTTGCTGCAACCAACGATAACACACCCCCTGAAACCGCTGCTATTGTAAGTACTTTTCTCCTCGTTATTTGTGTTCAATATCTCATGTGTGGAATCAGTTTTGCATTTTCAGGCCTTCCCTTCTGTATGTACAGGAAGATGTGGCACAGGCGATGCAAAAAGAACGCAGTAGGATGCTGCTGCAACTGGGGCTGTTAAGATCTAGTGAAAAAGTTGCTGTGGAATAACTTTAAGAGTCAATTGAAAATTGCTTCATTCCTCGCATGTGGCTTCCCCTCTGCCCGAAGCCTTTGATTATTGGCCCATTTGGGAAGAAAAACTCTTGTCCATCTGGGTAGTCTTGGTGTTATTTTTAAATACGGTGTTCACTACATTCTTGTCTTTTGATAAAGACCGGTTATTCTTGCTCTCTGCACCCTTTCTTTCTACAGGGGATCTAGTAACAAAAGAAAAATATCAGTGCCTCAGGTCATTTTATGAGTTATGTTATCCAGGGCTGACAACTTAAGATTTGGGCAGGGATTTCTTCAGACATCCTACAGTCTAGATTGGGGCTTGTTGATGCTAGAGAAAAATTCACCCCTTCTTGATTTTGTGTGTGAAATGATGAATACCACTAGTTGTTTTGTACAGCCTGCGCCACAACATCATGTCTGATCCCAGTTGTTTTCTTGTGCTAAAACGAGGACCTCTGAGAATAGTTATTACAATTGCCATGATTTCCCTTCAGTGCTACTGATGGTTCCCATTTGAACAAAGGTTGTGCTAGTTATAATTTTCTACTAGGTCATTCCCTCCTAGTTCCCCTTGCCATTTAAATAAAATGTTTAGCCTTGATGTTCTTATGCACTTTCCTTTTTCTTCCCCTTTCTTCTTCTTAATAATTTCCCAAAGCCCACAACCGGTGCACACCCATCTGGCTGTGTGCCAGACTGCTGCACCACACTTTTAAGTCTAAGCTTGCCCCCAAAGTGCATACCATTATCATAGCCAAGGATTCATGAGAAGATGATAATGCAGACAGGATGCACAAAGCTTTTGACGGGTGCTGCACTATGAAAAGCCAGGAAATAAACCAAATGAAACAATGTGTTGAAGGGAGGTACACTGGCAGAAGCACAGAATGCAGAACTTGAGGAAATAAATACAAGTGGAAATGCAGCACTGCAGTAGCAAAAAAACAAACCCAATGTTTTCAGCCTAGCTCAACATATGCCAGATACACTGTGCTGGTGAGTTGGAGGGTTGGTACCCTGCTTTAGGAAGTTAGTAGTGTTTGCATTAGGGACACGGGTGGCGCTGTGGGTTAAACCACAGAGCCTAGGGCTTGCCGATCAGAAGGTCGGCAGTTCTAATCCTCGCGACGGAGTGAGCTCCCGTTGCTCAGTCCCTGTTCCTGCTAACCTAGCACTTCGAAATCACGTCAAAGTGCAAGTAGATAAATAGGTACCGCTCCGGCGGGAAGGTAAACGGAGTTTCCGTGTGTTGCTCTGGTTCACCAGGAGAGGTTTAGTCATGCTGGCCACATGACCCGGAAGCTGTATGCCGGCTCCCTCGGCCAATAAAGCGAGATGAGCGCAGCAACCCCAGAGTCGGTCACGACCGGACCTAATGGTCAGGGGTCCCTTTACCTTTCTAGTGTTTGCATTTGATAAAGAGCTTCCAAATCGCACAACATCTTTACAGCAGAGTAGAGCCACACACTTTTCTGCAGCTCACACTTCATCAGACGGTGCAACATATGGCTTTGTAGGGATTGCCAAAGCTGGGGCTGTCATAAAACTGTGACTTAGTAGGCCTAATAAATTTCAGTGAGATGGGGCAAGCATGTAGTCTTGAGTCTAAGGGGAGAAACCTGTTCTGTACTTGGGGCTCACTGCGTGGGAGATCTACCTTCATTGCAGGTGGTCTTGTAAAAAAAATAAAAATAAATCCGTTAAAATAGCACCAGCTACATCTGTGATCCTTTTATTAGGGATTGGAGATATATGGACCAGCTGGTTTTCTATTGTTTTGTTCCTGGATGTCTTACCGGGCCTCCTACTCTCATCTCATTCTCTTAGTTTGCACTGCCTATTGGCAGTAGTTCCAAACACTTCCGTTTTTCAAAAGCCGCAAAGTGCCTTTCAGCATTCGTCATTGGCAAGTTTTATAGCAGGGATGGGGAAAGGGCTATATCCTTTTCTGGGTGACGTTTTGGTGGCCCATGTATCCGTGGTGGGTGGAGCCAGAGGCAAAGTGGATGGAGCAATGAATGCTTTATGTTTTGCACAGCAGACTGATAGAAACTCACACATCTCTCTCTATACTTCATCTAGGCAAGCATTATCAGAGTTGAAGGGCACAGTCCAGCCAGGCAAAAGCACTTAAGGAGGGTGCAAAGGAGGGCCAGGGAGGGGTGTGGCTGAGTAGGGGAAGAGTCATCAGGGCCAGAATCCCACCCCCTTTTTTATAGAGACCAACAGGAAAATGTACCTGGAGATAATCAGACTATTCTTGTATACTTTTGAATCTGAGTTGAAGTTTATTTATATATATAGACTCTTCTCACACTTTGTTTAACAGGTATTTGGATTTCTCGCAACGATAACGTTTTGTGTGGACGCTGTTCTGATGTATCTGAAGAGACGTAAGGCGAAAGAAGAGAGAAAGACAGAGAACCCAGCCAATACACTGAATCCAACAGAGAATCAGCCACTGAATAACTAGCAAGTCTGAGGTCTAAACTGTCCCTTATTGTTATTATCAGATGCCGAGTGAAGCTGGAATGATTCTGCCTTTTAAAGAATGCCCCAGTAGTTAAATTTCGTTTCGGTTTTCAACTCGCCGTCCTAGAGCTGCGTCTTTGCACAGTTCCCACACATAAATAGTTCAAGAATTGTGGGCTTCTTTTCTCCACACACACTCCAATAAGCACTCGGTTTTGTGCAATTGCACACTCATTTGTATGTGACTGTACATCACCAGTAGGCAAGGGAAACTTGCGATAGGATCGTGAAATAATTGGGTTTTGCTTCTTCCAGAAGAAAATTTTCGACAGGTGAAAAATGGTTCAAGTTCAGAATAAAATTAGTTTCGTACGGAAAAGGCCCCAGTAATGAAGGGGATGGGAAGAGAAAGGGACAGTGGGAGGTTTCTGCCCATATTAATTACAGAAGGGATACATTTCATGTTTTTATATAGGAAAAACTAGGAAATTGAGAAATAAAAACAAAGACAGGAAATTAGATATTGTGTGGCCTATGGAGTATCCTCATGTGAAAATCAGTAGGCTCTCTCTCTCTTACACACACACACACACACACACACACACACACACACACACACACCCCAGGATGTGGTCCCAGTTCTTTACCTAGGGGATCATTGTTTTCCCCTCTTAAAATCATGTTCATCTCCCTGCCCATAAACTTTGGGTTTTTACTGCTGGCATTTTGAGAATAAGGTTTTTATAATGTAGCCAGGGGCCTCCAACATAGTGTTGCAGCATAGAGTGTCCTCTATTCAGGATCACAGTTGTTTGATTTGATTCCCACCCCAATAGTTAATCAGCATTCTGACCCCATTGGGGAGTGGCATTCTCTACTGAAGGTTTTTCCCCTCTAAATATTTTTTTTATACATGTGAAAATTTTGGGATTCCCTGGCATGTGTGGGTGGTTTTTTTCTCTGACTGCCTAATTCATGTTGCTATTGATGTATATGATTTTTCATGATAGTAATAATCAATACTGTCCATATGGTCTTATACCATTTTGTAACATAGCAGTACATACAGCTTATTTTATTTCTGTGTGTTTGTGTGTCTTTTAAGTCCAGGTTTAAATTATGTACAATGCAGTATGTAGGCATACGCATTCGCTGTATGTTCAGGACTCTGAAAGAGCTGTTACAATTTTAAGTAGACACAAAGAAGCAGTCAACCAAGAGGAAACAACTTTAAAACTGTAACAAGCTGCCTGAAATTTTAAAAGGAGATTGTATTCATATAAAAAGGGCTTGGTTCATGTGTTGAGGAAGTATAAAGAGCAACACTTGCCGCCTCCAATCTTATTCATAAAACATTTAATAGTGTGATGCTTTCGGGCTATTTATTTTGTGTAGTCAATTGCATGTGCAGCTTCTCCTGTTTATGAATGAAATATTGCAGACCGTGGAAGACTTTAGGGCAGGGGTGGGTGTGCTGTTGGTGACAGGAAGTTAACCAATAGTTGCTGCTCAAGGTGTTGCAGCCCACATTGACTCCCAAGAGTTTCACTGATGTGTAGAAGGACTCATAGTCAAGGTGGTGCATGATGATCAAAGCCCAGAAATGTAACTTCATTTGGGGAGTCGCCGAGCAGGCCACGCATAATGCCCATATAGCGGTAAGAATGCAGTGAAATGTTCTGAGGCGTCCTGGCTTTTGTTTTGCAAGTAATAATAACAATCAGCCTACATGTGACAGCTAGTGAGGCAATGCAGCCGTACCTTGGAAGTCGAATAGCCTAGTTCTCGAACGTTTTGGCTCCCAAACGATCAAAACCTGGAAGTGACTGTTCTGGTTTTCAAATGTTCTTTTGGAAGCCGAACTTCCAACGGGGCTTCCGCAGCTTCTGACTGGCTGCAGGAGCTTCCTGCAGCCAATCAGAAGCCGCGCTTTGGTTTTCGAATGTTTTGGAAGTCAAACGGACTTCCGGAATGGATTCCGTTCGACTTCCAAGGTATGACTGTAACCTCTTGTGAGGTTTCCACATCTTCCCGGTGTGAAATGCTAATACAACTCCTCTCCCCACCCCCCCCACAACCTACTCTGCCGGGACAGAGCCTGCATGTTTTGCACATTGATGTAGCCTTGAAAGTAGAAAAGGGATGCCGTTGTGACATATTTGTGGTATTTTTGGATAGAATAGGACTTCTTGTTTTTAAAGGAAGAGTATTTGGGTTGTAGAGTTAAATAGGAACATATAAGAACCACCTTCTGGATCAGACCAGTAACCCATCTAGTTCAGCATCCTGTTCTCACAGTAGCAACCAGACACAGGTGACCCTGTGGTCTAAACCACTGAGCCTCTTGGGCTTGCCAATCGGAAGGTCAGCAGTTCGAATCCCCATGACGGAGCGAGCTCCCGTTGCTCTGTCCCAGCTCCTGCCAACCTAGCAGTTCGAAAGCACGCCAGTGCAAGTAGATAAATAGGTATGGCTGCGGCAGGAAGGTGAATGGCGTTTCTGTGCACTCTGGCACTCGTCACGGTCCCCTGTGCACTAGTAGCGGCTTAGTCCTGTTGGCCACATGACCCAAAAAACTGTCTGTGGACAAACGCCGGCTCCCTCGGCCTGAAAGCGAGATGAGCGCTGCACCCCATAGTCACATTTGACTTAACTGTCTAGGGGTCCTTTACCTTTTTACCAATGAGAAGCCCACAATAACAGCTCTCTCTTCTTCTGCTGTTTCCAGCAACTGGTATAAAGATACCTAATGCCTCTGACAGTGGAGGGAGAATATAACTGTCAGCCACTGATAGCTCTCTCCTGCACAATCTCTCATGGATGTGTCTTTGAGCAAAGAGTTACAGGCAACTGACCTCAAGCTTCATTTGTCAAATATTCCCTTTCCCTTTCCGATGTTTGTGTTGTTGGGAGTTATCTTGAGGGGCTGGGATGCAATTATGCCGTTTCCTTTGTATAGTTCCCGGGTGCCCTAAACTATGGGTTTTGGGGGGGAAGAATTGTGAAAGCTGTTAGGAGGCAGCTTGTTTCTACTAAGCAAATAAAGGGAAACTAGGGCTGCAATTCTGTACCCAATTACCTGGGAGTAAACCCTACTGAACGCAGTGGAGCCTGCCTCTGAGTAAATTTGCACAGGGTCGTGCTGTAAATTTCTGTTTGCTGTCATAGGAAGTTTCTGCAAAACAGTGAAATATGAGATGCCCTAATTGGCACCACCTCAAGCAAGCTAGACTGGTAATCTTTCCACATAGCTGGGCAATGCCAGAAAATGCGACAGCTTAGAGCCTCTTGCTTGTTCAGGCTGAGTTCGCATAGAAGAAAAGGTACACAGCAGCTATTGCTTAACAATGTAGGTTTGGAAATATTCACTTGCCTGCTTTTCCATGGAGAGTAATGATAGCCTCAAAGTGATCCGGCAGGAAAGCTCTTGTAGACAGGAAGCTAGCTAGTGTCATCCCCCCCGGCTTCAAGTTGTGAGTGTTAGAACTTTAAAATATCTGTGGACAGATGAACTATTAAGAGGTGAACTAATGAGATATTTATTTACATGGCTGTTCTTACTTCCTTCAGCACAAATGGTAAAGACCTGGGCTCTCCCCCCCCCAAAAAAACCCCCCTCTGTGTTCCCGTCCCTTCCCTTCATACTATTGCCCCCATATCATATTCATTCCAAGTTTAGAACGTTTTATCATTCTTAATTTTGTTGCTTTTTAAAGAATCCAGATACTATATTAGACTTGCTGAAATCTCGCTCATGTTAATGGATCCAGTGGGTCTTAATTTCAAGTAAATCTGTTCAAGGTTGCACCACTAAGCAACTTACTGTGGTGTCTCTGAAAATACACTAGCTTATTTCCAGTGTGCGTAAAGCTGTTTTGGGATTAAATTGGAATTGCCAGTTTTTATTATTATTATTATTGCACTTTCTGCTTCAAAATCTTATGCAGATTTTGATCATGCGGCCTTCTAAGTTTCCGTCCTTAATGTGCATGTGCACACAAACACACTCCTTGGTGGCTCAGAACAATCACTCCCCCCATTCAGTGATCTCCTTTTTATACCAATAGTTCAGCGCCATAAGACCCAAAGCCTTTGAACACACTGTGTTTGATTCAGACTGCTTGCCGCACTTCAGTCCCATTTAAATCAAATGACTTGTTAAGTAGTGAGTAACTTGTTGCATTGATTTACATAGGACTAAACCAGGGGGAGCTAACTCATGGGCTATTTCCAGCCTCCCAAGCTGTCTTTTGTGGTTCCCTAGGATCCACCAAATTAACCCTTTTAAATTATTTTTTTTAAAAATTAAAAATTGACTTCTCCTATGGACCCACCTCTATAACGCCATGACATCAAAAGGTTTTTTTGTGGCCTCTAGACCCCTCCAAAACATATAATTAATCTTGGCTCAATGCAGCCGTCAGCCCCCCAAAAATGTCAGCTGCCCCTTGCCTAAAGGAAGGCTGACTGTTTGGATCCAACCCATTGTGTTTGCAGTGTCCTTGAGTAGAAGGGGCACAGGCCAAGATCGAAACAACTACTTGTGGCAAATCCCACACTTGGTGGGATTTATTTTTTTTAACTTTCCCTGTTTCGTACAGCAGATCCCCATTCTCCCAGGAGAGAAAGTCAGAAAGTCCCCTTAGTTTCAGAAGTGGTTTCCCACATGACACGGAGAGCCACTGTTTGGATAAGCTTAATGGTGAATGGGCACACAGAAGGGTGCTATTCTTTGGATCTCAGCCCCTGTATAATCACATGCATTCCATCCATAATACAGGAAACGCTTTGAAGAATGGCCCACTGTGAAGATGGGAAGACACTCAGCGGTTTTGAGAAATTATTTATAATGGGGTTTTTAAATGTAGGCTAGGCGCAAACTTTTCTAACAGCATATGCTTCGTGAAACAGGTTTGGGTGATTTTGAACTGTGAATTATAGCATTGTCTTCACTTTGGAAATGTGTAATGACAAACCAACTCTTGCCTAAACTGTTACTGTATAGATTCTTACTGTAAACTGTATGCTATGTCAACTTTTTTACCTTCTCTATTGTAGCCTGGCCTTTTTACTACCTATTTTTTATCTTCATTGGAATCACTTGATTACAAAATGATTATGTTTTTATTAAAAAGTTGTAGAAAGCATGTTGCTTTGGAGTATTTCTCTTTTCTGCTGTTGGTAACTGGGCAGCAAGAACCCACTTACTGTATTCTTGAAGAAACAGGAATAAATGGTAATGTCTTTTCCCCCCCGAGGGCTGAACCATTGACCTGTGTTACAAGGGAGCACTCTGGAATACCGGCCTTTTCCGGTGCGTTTTCTCAGGGAAATCTCTCATGAACCATCCTGAAAATATCCCATGGTGCACTAAACTCTTCCTGATGCAACCCTTCCTACAGATCACAATGCAAGACTTGTTTTGCTATATATTGTATTCTTTCTTTAGGTCTACAAAAAGTGTTAGATCAGGCTTCTTGACTGGAAGCTTCAAGGTTGTATTTCTGGTGCATCCTATGCAAAGAAAAATGTGGGTGATTTCTAAGCAAGCAGAGCAAAAAAAGGATGCTTGACAGAAACCAGTCATTAACACTTCCAGGCACACATGACGTCATCTGTTTTCTAGGTATGCTCCGCCAACTATAGTGCAGCCCACAATAGTGTTTCGTACGCTGCTTGTTGTTCTTGCTCTATGGATTATTTTTTTCCCCTTTCAATCAAGCTTGTCCAAGATACATTCCTGCTGTTGATACATTTTATTCTTATTGAATTCTTTTTTACTAATTACATTCTGTTTCTCCAAGGAGTGCACGTAAGGTTCTGCCACCCATGTCTATCCTCACAACAACTATAGAGGTAGGTTAGATAGGAGGGCTGGCCCAAGTTCACCCAGTGTGCATCATGGCTAAACTTGGATTTACATCTGGCTCTTCCTGGTCTAAGTCAGACATTCTACTACATTGGCTCAAGTGATTTTTCTAATGTATTCTGCTGCTGTTTAAAGCAGTTAATAATAATAATAATAATAATTTTTTATTTATACCCCACCCTCCCCAGCCAAGGCCGGGCTCAGAGCAGCTTACAAGCAATAATAAAAACAAGAATGATTACAACTTAAAAACAAAAATAAAATACAACATTAAAATAATGGAACATTAAAATATTAAAATGCAGCCTCATCACAGGAGGAGAAAGGAAAAAGGAAAAAGAAAGAGGGGGAGGGAATCAAATTGGCTCCAAGCCAAAGGCCAGGCGGAACAACTCTGTCTTACAGGCCCTGCGGAAAGAAATCAGATCCTGCAGGGCCCTGGTCTCATGAGGCAGAGCGTTCCACCAGGCCGGAGCCAGAGTTGAAAAGGCCCTGGCTCTGGTTGAAGCCAATCTAACTTCCTTAGGGCCTGGGACCACTAGGGTGTTGTTATTTATGGACCTTGAGGCTCTCCGTGGGGCATACCAGGAGAGGCGGTCCCGTAGGTTCGAGGGTCCTAGGCCGTGAAGGGCTTTAAAGGTCAAAAGCAGCACCTTAAATCTGACCCTGTACTCCACCGGGAGCCAGTGCAGCTTGAAAAGCACTGGGTGAATATGCTCCCATGGCAAGGACCCCGTGAGGAGCCTCGCTGCAGCATTCTGTACCCGCTGGAGTTTCTGGGACAGCTTCAAGGGCAGCCCCGCGTAGTTAGCCAGTCTTCACCGTGAATTGTTGTGTTACGTTGGTATCTTTGTAAGCCACCTTGCTCAGGTAAAACAGGAAAGGTGTAAAGTGCAGGTTTAATTTATAACCATTGTGTTCTTCGTTCAGTATTAATTTGCTCAGGCACTGCATTTTTGTCCATTTCTAAGTTTAATATAAGGTTTGGAAGCCTGGATTATTCAGTCTTGGAAGCAAGACCACCTGTTGACACTGCTGTGAACCCAATGCCAATTTGGCCCGTGATATTTTTGGGATGATGCACAATAAGATGATTTGGGTGAGACGTGGGAGCTAGGATTCATCTTGACTTCTCTACTGAACCAGTACTTTAAACTCTGGAATAGTCATCAGTTCCTTGGCTATTCCCTAAATATGTCATATGGATTCAGAGCTGCTTTGGCAGCCATAGAAGAAGAAGAAGAAGAGTTTGGATTTGATATCCCGCTTTATCACTCCCCTTCAGGAGTCTCAAAGCGGCTCACATTCTCCTTTCCCTTCCTCCCCCACAACAAACACTCTGTGAGGTGAGTGGGGCTGAGAGACTTCAGAGAAGTGTGACTAGCCCAAGGTCACCCAGCAGCTGCATGTGGAGGAGCGGAGACGCGAACCCGGTTCCCCAGATTACGAGACTACCGCTCTTAACCACTACACCACACTGGCTCTCAAGAAGTCTCATGTTCCTCACCATACTCAGAAGTCTCATGTTCCTCACCTTAGTAGAGCCTCAAGTTAGCTATATGCTGCATCTTTGCAGGGAGCAGGGAGGCACTTATTTGCAGGATATCCCTGACACCTTTACTGGAATACTGCAAGCAGGGCTGTAGCTAGGGGGTGGTGGGCCCCTGCCAGAGGCGCAGGCATTTGGGGGCCCCAAAATCTGCTAAAAAACAAGTCTACAAATATAAATATTGATTGTTGCCTCATAAGAAATGGTTTAAAATAGAGGATGAATTGAATTGGAGGGTGGGGTTGGAGGAGAGGCAGAAAGAAGAACTAATTTGTCTGTGGCTGGGGGGGGGGGCAAGCTGGACGGTTCTGTCAGGGGTGCAAGATCGCCTAGCTACAGGTCTGACTGCAAGGCTCTCAGAGACTACTGATTCCACGTATTCTCCAAGTTCAACGGCTGTTGAATTCCCCCTTTACTTTTCTCTACCTTGTTTTGTTTTTCACCATTAACCAGCTTTTTCTCGCCATGTCCTATTATCTCGCTTGCATGTTCTGTTTCGCTTGGGCACCTGAGCAACTGCTTCTTTTCAAGTAATTTTTAATATAAAAGATGGAGATAACGGTGATAAATTAAACCCTTGCTTTGAGGGAAAATGGGGTTGTTTTTGCTTACAGCTTGTGTAGCCCGAGTCTGCCAAGAGCATAATTACTTTGATGTCATGCATGATAAACTGCTGTGCATGCAGTATTAATGACGGTTTTCCGTGAGCCTGTAGCACTAATGGCCAGTCTTCTGCACCCTTGCTCTGGCCTCTGATCATGCAAAAGCAAGTCACCAACAGACAGCATATCACATGAACCATCTCTGGTTACCTAGAGCCTTTTTGAAAGGCGTACTTCTGTTCATGCATTGTCCTGTTTTTTCCTCACTAATAGTGCTAGCAACTTAACAGCATAAATTACTTGACTGATCTTTAACTAAACATTACAGAATCCCCACCCCAAACTGCCCACCTTGTTATCCTGAAACAGCAATGAGATGCTGTCAGGCTGTGAAATGAAAGCACTGGCTTAAATGCTTACTTCCAAGTAAGCAAGCATAGGATTTTGCTGCAAGCCCCACTGACTTGCTCTCAGCTAAACAGTTTTAGATTATCTTGTGGAAAGGTTCAAACCCTTTTGCAGATTTGTTTATTCAAATGTTTCCACTCCACTGTTTCCTGTAGATTTGCAAAGTGGATAAAAACATTAAAAGCACAATGAAACAAAATAAAAAAACACAATTTCACATAAACACACCAGAGACCTGGAGAATAACCTGCAATGATAATGTTAAGACCATCTAGGACTCAAAAGTGCTCTGGAAGGGAATTTTCCTAAATTGGTACCTGAAGGTCATGAAGTTAATCCTCACTGAGGGGCATTCTATTAGCTTGCTGCTACCATAGAAAGAAGATACTGCCCAATGTACTGCAGTCAGACAACAGGGGAATACAAAACAACAAACCATCAGCAATAGAATCCCTATAAACCGAAATAGCATGTTGAACACTGAAATAATGAAACAAGAAAACTTGCTGCTTCTTTTTTTACATAGCTGCCGTAAGAATTCCCTATGAACTGCTCTTTTGCAACACAAAATAAGATTTGATTGTATTTAACTGGGGTCTTCCAGCTAAAAGAGCTGATCTTCACAGAGACCAAAGTTAACTATTAATAATGCCAAGCAACTTATTATCAAAACTGAAAACTTAGGGGAGTTGGTTTTGTCTAACAGGTATGGATATGGAAGCGAGTGGTGTTTTTGAGGTATAAAATTTATTTAAAATTATTTTGTCATGAATAAAAATACTTAAAAACAGAAGAAACACTAGGACACAAAGGAAACTCTGTTTCACTTCTGAAGACATATTCACAGTAAGCCAGTAAAAACATAAATTATCAGATGCCTTTTCTCGCACCGGGAGCCAAAAGCCAGGAAAGGCAGAGGTAAGCAATAGACTTTGCATGTATAACTTAATATAAAGCAGCTGCTGGTCCATGATAAAAATGTAGCATTTCCCAGCTGCAGATGAAAGGAAACACAGTACTTTTCCCACCTTCAACCTTTATATGCAGGTCCCAGTTCAGATCACTCAGGTAGCTTGAGTGCTATCAACGTGAAGAGAGGGGAGCTAGCTCCTACCAAATCGTGGCATAGAATAATCATTTTTACATTTACACCCCACTTTTCCTTCAAGGAGCTCAAAGTAGAATACAAGGTTCTCCATCACCATCCGCATTTTATCCTCACAACAATCCTGTGAGGTAGGTTAGGCTGAGGGAAAACATCTGGTCACCCAGATAACATCATGGCTAAGAATTTCAATCCTGGTTTCCCCTTGTTTGCAGAAAGAAAGAAAAAACAGATTCCCTAATACAAGAATCTTGGTATTAAGACAATGCAGTATAGAGGCTGGTGGTACTAACAATCTGGACAAATGAATATGAGGAGTGTAAGACCAGAGCCCTCTGGTGGTCAACTCACTTAGTAAGAGGTTTCAGGAGTCATTACAAAAGCAAGTCCTCAAGACGATCACCAGAACAAAATTCCATCTTACATACATTTGCTGTCTGTTAGCCTATGAAATCCTCAGTTTGGTGTGTGCATCATGAGTGCCAAAAGTTTCACACAGCAGCATCTGAAAAAGAAACAGAGAAAGACTAGAATAAACTTGTCAAGCAAATTACAGACACAATTGCTGCTCCATAAAATGAATTTTCTAGGCAAGCTCACAAAACAATTTAATCCGATGAAAGAGGAGAGAGCTTTGTAAATGTTTGGGACATGAAGATGTAATGGTAGATTGGTCACATACTTAAGAGGGCAAGGGGTGACTTGGAACCACCCAATATCCATTCTGTCTGCATTGATGCCTCTACAGCGAGACCCCATCTCTCAGTGTAGATGTGATATCATCCTATATACATAAAAATGTAAGGCTGTCATCACACTGCAGTTTGCGTGATTTTCAGCAGGCAACTATGCCAGTTCCAGTGTGGCAAGAGAAGAGCAGGCAGGCAGATGAGTGAGGAAGCAATGCAGGTGGCGAGAGGCCCAGTCAAGCTGTTTAAACAGAAGGTGGGAGATGCTTCAGAGAGCAGTTGGCCAAACCATACTCTGAAATGCTTCTCCCCTCCTTTAAAAGAGGGCAGGTGTTTGGGTGACCTACAAGAAAAGGGGCAGGTCTGGGTGAGCTGTGAGGAAATAGGTGAAGGGGTGCATTGATAAACGAAGGAGTTGATGCATGTGGGGGAGAAAGAGGTGGGCAAAGGGATTGGTAGGTAGGGTTGGCACATGGAGCAAGCAGGTGTAGGAGCTTCTAGTAAATATTTTTAAATGCTCTATTGGACGCACCTAGTTTTTGGAGGAGGAAAACAAGAAAAAAATTATTCTGAATCTCAGAAGCCAGAACAGCAAGAGGGATCTGGCTTCTGGGATAGCCTCTTGTTGTTCTGGCTTCTGGGATAGCCGCACAAAGCCTCTGCAGGGCAGCGGGATGAAGGCTCCCCCTGCCCTGAAGAGGCTTTGCACAGCAAAGCCAGGACAGCAAGAGGGATCGCTGCGCAGCAATCCCTCTTGCTGTCCTGGCTTATGGGATAGCTGCACATAGCCTCTTCCAGGCAGCAGGCTAAAGGCTCCCCCAAGAGCCGTGCTCCCTTTAAAGAGCGTGCGGAGCGTGTGTGCGGCTCTTGGGGGCTTTTCTCCAAGGAGGGAGAAGGGCAGCCCTTCTCCCTCCTTGGGGAAAAGCCCCCAAGAGCCGCACACACACTCCACATGGCTCTTTAAAGGGAGTGCTGCGCAGAGCCTCCCGCCTGCATTCGCTCCATAAGACACACACACATTTCCCCTTACTTTTTAGGAGGGAAAAGTGCATCTTATAGAGTGAAAAATACAGTATATACAAACAATACCAAACCAGAAGATTTTTGTCTTAATTTTTAAAAAATATAGACATGAACAGGGAGAAATTAATACAGAATGAGAGTGCAAATGTTCAGGCATGAGTAAAAAATTTTTTGAATGTAAGCAAGTGTTTTCAAATGTTTTTATCCCTGATAAAGGTCACCAGCTAAATTATAGTTAACTGCGAGTATTTATTTAAAATATTTTATTCCATCTGCTCAAAGCTTCTAATGAGCAGGTACACCTTTTTTTAAATCCACTCCTTTATTATAATGAGTCGTTTATTGAAGGGGTGGCATGAATAATATCAGAGATGTCTGCACATGAGATGGAATTTTATAGGTACCAAGCTTATGCTTAGCAGGCCAAGAATATCTTACAATGAAGGCAGCCAATGGAGGAAGCTCTAGTGGTGTCAGTCTGCAGTATAATTTAAATGTGAGCTGGCTTGGGTCAAACGTATTGCTGAGTTATTTGTTGAACCTTGCAACTATCTAGGTCCCTCCGGCTTTGTGACACAGTTTACAATCTAGGTTGCAAGAGTCAGAGAACACAAGTGAACAAGGCTGTTTCTTATGTCCGAGACAATCCATGATGCTACTGACAGGTTGGGGGAGGACAATGTCTTGGGTAGAATCACTTTATCTTTCTTGTCTAAGGGGCTCTTGCTTGTCAGACAGTTCTGCCGATGGACCACCAATTGGTCATTCCATGGTTAAATAATGCAAGTTAGCTATGGTTGGTGCAATTTAATTGACTAGATACTTACCTGTTGACTGAGTGACACAAGAGACTTTGTAGGATAGCCATATACTTAAGAGACACAGAAATGAAGCTAAGAAGCCAAATACCTGTTAAAAACAAAACAAAAAGAACCGTGCGATAACTAAACCTTCTAGTATAGAGAATCCAATATACCCTATACCAACATTTAAGATTTATCCACTAAGGATTCTGTTCACCTCATGCATCCAGTTGATAGATCCTATCCAGGATTTTTAAAAAAAATGGACACAGGTGGCGCTGCGGGTTAAGCCACAGAGCCTAGGGCTTGCCGATCAGAAAGTCGGCAGTTTGAATCCCTGCGACGGGATGAGCTCCCGTTGCTTGGTCCCTGCTCCTGCCCACCTAGCAGTTAGAAAGCACGTCAAAGTGCAAGTAGATAAATAGGTACCACTCTGGCGGGAAGGTAAACGGCATTTCCGTGCGCTGCTGTGGTTCGCCAGAAGCGGCTTAGTCATGCTGGCCACATGACCTGGAAGCTGTACGCCGGCTCCCTCGGCCAATAAAGTAAGATGAGCGCCACAACCCCAGAGTCGTCCGTGACTGGACTTAAGTGTCAGGGGTCCCTTTACCCCATTACCTTTATTCAGGATAAATTAGGCTTCTAGTTTAAAGTGCTGTTTCATGAACTCTGTTGGACTAACATACCCCATGTTGCCAGCTTATTATGCAGCCAAAAGAGTGGCCATTAGCAGCTACGACCCAGAAACTCTGAAATCTGCATGACCCCAATGGCCACATGATGTAGCCATATAGTGTGGAATCTGGCTGCAGAGGCAGAGTTTTAGAGAACCTAATTACAATTTAAAATGGGCAAAGCTTACACAGCCCTTGTTATTGCACGGGAAAGTCTAGTACAGTGGTACCTTGGTTGTCGAACTTAATCCATTCTAGGAGTCCATTCGATTCCCAGAACCCTTTTGAAAACCAAGGCGCGGCTTCCAAATGGCTGCAGGAGCTTCCTGCACTCTATTGGAAGCCGCGGAAGCTGCATCAGACGTTCGGCTTCTGAAAAACGTTCGCAAAGCGGAATACTCACTTCCGGGTTTGCGGAGTTCAGGAGCCAAGCCATTCGACAACCAAGCTTACCACTGTAATGTGAGGACCAGGGACATATCCAAATGGAGATGTCTCCTCCACAGATTCCATTGACTTCAAGAGGATAAAAAAAGTGGGGGTATCTTTAGTTTTAATGGACGGGCCTAGCTTTTAATCACAGTCAATTTATTTCCCCAGTGTACTCCAGTCACAGTGATTTTGAGAAGGGATGTTGCAGTAAACTTGTGAGCTGTATGTCTTCGAGTTTCGACTGTGATAGCAAGATGCAAGGAGCAGAATTAGACGGCTGAGGTGACCTGTTTCTTTCCCAGTTGCTCTTCCTAACAGACAATCACAAATCCTACTCCTTTCTTTTTCTTCATGGGGGCGGGGGTACTTCCAGGAAGTGTGGGAAAGGAAAATATATTATGACTGTTATTTGAATAATGGAAGGTAAAAGCACCTAGCATGACAGCCCATGAACCTAGTTGTCTGAAATTAGGCAGACCTCATTCCCCCAGAAGGAGTGGCCATACCTGCAACTTGCATCCAATTTTGGCAGAAAATAAATTTAGAAGCTTCGTTAACAACTCCACCCCCTCCCCCAGTTTTTGTAAATGTGGCAGGCTCAATCCACTCTGGAGGAGCTCCTTTGTCTGCATGTTTCATCCACTTAAGTGAAAGGCGGGGGTATAGCCATTTTTAGATTTCCCGTTGAAGTCAATGGGACTGAAACTGAGTTTCGAATTTAAAAGATCTGATTCTCATGTGAATAACAAAACTGAAACGACACAGAGCACATCCAAAACAGATCGGGCTGCTACCAAACGATACAGATACAATGCGAATCTAGCTGTTGCCGCACACCCCTAGTAAAAAAAGCGAAGCACCGTATTTTTCGCTCTATAAGACGCACCAGACTATAAGATGCACCTAGTTTTTGGAAGAGGAGAACAAGAAAAAAATTATTCTGAATCCCAGAAGCCAGGACAGCCAGCGGGATCGCTGCGCAGCGATCCCGCTGGCTGTCCTGGCTTATGGGATAGCCGTGTGCAGCCTCTTCTGGGCAAGGGGAGACTTCATCCCCTGCCTGGGAGAGGCTGTGCGCGGCTAAGGCTCCCCCAAGAGCCGCGCTCCATTTAAAGAGCCACGTAGAGCGTGTGTGCGGCTCTTGGGGGCTTTTCCCCGAGAAGGGAGAAGGGCTGAGCAGAGCCTCCCGCCTGCATTCGCTCCATAAGACGCACACACATTTCACCTTACTTTTTAGGAGGGGGAAACTGCGTCTTATAGAGCGAAAAATACGGTAATAAGAAGATCCAGTAATGGATGAGAACAGGTAAAATGGTAGGATACGGCAAACTTCAAGACTTCCTTTGGCCGACGGTACAAAATACTGTACCTTTGTACAGTCGTACCTTGGAAGTCAAACGCCTTGAGAGTCGAACATTTTGGCTCTCGATTACAGCAAACCTGGAAGTGGGTGTTCCAGTTTGTGAACGTCCTTTGGAACCTGAACGTCTGACGTGGGTTGAGTTACAGATAGGTAGCCGTGTTGGTCTGCCATAGTCAAAACAAAAAAAATTCCTTCCAGTAGCACCTTAAAGACCAACTAAGTTAGTTCTTGGTATGAGCTTTCGTGTGCATGCACACTTCTTCAGATACCTTCTTCAGGTATCTGAAGAAGTGTGCATGCACACGAAAGCTCATACCAAGAACTAACTTAGTTGGTCTTTAAGGTGCTACTGGAAGGAATTTTTTTTGTTTTGACGTGGGTTGGTTCCTGAATGTTTTGGAAGTTGAATGGACTTCCGGAATGGATTTCGTTCGACTTCCGAGGTACCACTGTATGTATACAAGGTTTTGTCAAAGGCCCTCCAACATTCAACCCAACCAGGATACAGAGCACAAACAAGGGACAAATCCTGACTTGTGGTATAGACTGCAGCTCTACTTTACATGGAGCTCTACCTTACATGCATACAAAGAGTAATTATGCAGAAAAAACTTGGAATCTGCACTAAAATCAGACCCCAGCAGTAACAATGTAAAAGCAATTCCTTGTCGATTGGGGGGGAAAGTAGCCTCACCGCTCCAGCTGTAAGACTTGCTGACCCAGAGCTTCTGGCCACCACCACCACCGATCCAATGAGAAGAAGGGTGGTACCTATTAGGTAATGGAGAAACTCCTGAAAAGAAACAAGCACAGAACAATTTTGAAGACAACCCAATAAAAGGAGCATTTCAATGTGGCACAACACTGCCAGCCAATCAGAGTCTTTTGCTTTAAATCACCTGTGAAAAAGGAAACATGGGACTGCCGTCTCTGGCCCAAATTGCATTTCCTGGAGGAAAGACAAGGTTCTGCTGAAACAGATAAGGTTTCTATCCCTTGTTCTCCCACTCCCCGCCAAAACAAACAAACAAACAAACAAGTTCTTTTCGAGATTGCACAATAGGTAACCGTAAGAGAGATGCTGTAGTCTTGCTGGTGGGTGTTACTGATGAGGAGAGCGTAACTCCCAAACAGAAAGGCAAAGCCCTATTGATCTCTGAGGGTTCTGCTTGCATCCCTTCCTCACTTTTAGTGTGCATCTGTGGCCAAATTCTCATTCTCTCTTTAGGCTTTGGAATACACGGGGATCCTTTTTTGCTCCTTAAATCATAGTGTGAGTGCGGCATGATTTGCTGCCCGTTTATATTTGCAACTTTGCTTTCCGAAGCAGCATTCATATCCGCTATCAATTTCATTTCAAGAAACGAACCAACTTTTCTTTATTCCTCTTGTGTGAGCTTCTTGGGGCATAAGGTTAAGGATAAATAAATTCACAACAGATGCATGTTCTAACTCTCAGCTTAATACTGGGGCTGTGCATACGAAGACACCTGCACGTGGATTCAATGCCACTTTGAGCTCCTGCGAGGAAAAGTGGCATATAAAACGATCATAATACATACACCTGATTTTAAAGCCTTTAGCAGAGATGCTGCAACTACATTTCCAAACGAGGGACCCCTGACCATTAGGTCCAGTCGTGGCCAACTCTGGGGTTGCGGCGCTCATCTCGCTTTATTGGCCAAGGGAGCCGGCGTACAGCTTCCGGGTCATGTGACCAGCATGACTAAGCCACTTCTGGCGAACCAGAGCAGCGCACGGAAACACCGTTTACCTTCCCGCCGGAGCAGTACCTATTTATCTACTTGCACATGACGTACTTTTGAACTGCTAGGCTGGCAGGAGCAGGGACCGAGCTCACCCCATCACGGGGATTCGAACCGCCGACCTTCTGATCGGCAAGTCCTAGGCTCTGTGGTTTAACCCACAGTGCCACTAAAAAGCAGGTTATAGAATCGCATGTCCTAAGGCTAGTGCGGAAAGTTAGCATATCACAGAGGTGGGTCTAGTCTCCACACACCCATGCTGCTTTTTGATCCGCAAAGAGGAAGCATTTCAAAACTGATAAGCATTTCTAAAGTGGTACCGTGATGGTCCCAGGAGGTTTCAACTACGTGGTATTTCTGAAACTGGGACTTTACAGTACAATAGGAAAGTGATAATGTCACCAATACACCTCTCTCTGTCTTTCCCAGAAAGACCCGAACTGCATGAAATGTTGTTTTTATTCTCTTGGGTACTAATTAGAGCAAACTCCAACACAGAGTTTGCTCTGCTACTTTGCACTCCTTTGCCCCTCCATGGGCTATGAAGATTCTGGAGCAAATTTTCCAATTGTCTGACCTTCCCCGTGGGAGAGGGCCTGCAGCAGTTGACTCTTGTCCCTGAATAGCAAGTCAAAGAGACAGAGCAGACTCATCTCTCCAGTGGATGCTGTATGCAGCAATAGCAGCAAAGAAAGTAAAGGTAAAGGGACCCCTGACCATTAGGTCCAGTCGTGACCGACTCTGGGGTTGCGGCGCTCATCTCGCTTTATTGGCCGAGGGAGCCGGCGTACAGCTTCCGGGTCATGGGACCAGCATGACTAAGCCACTTCTGGCGAACCAGAGCAGCACACGAAATGCCGTTTACCTTCCTGCCGGAGTGGTACCTATTTATTTACTTGCACTTTGACATGCTTTCGAACTGCTAGGTTGGCAGGAGCAGGGACTGAGCAACGGGAGCTCACCCCGTCGCGGGGATTCGAACCGCCGACCTTCTGATCGGCAATTCCAAGGCTCTGTGGTTTAACCCACAGCGCCACCTGCGTCCCAGCAGCTGGGTCAAATCAGGAGTGGGGAAATGCCATCGTCATGCATGTACTACAGTATAGTCTTATAGTATAATCTGCAGTAACTGAAACATTGTGGCAGCTCAACCGACACACATGCATCCCCTCTAACTTGCTTGTTGCAAATGCACATTTTAGGACAGCTAGGAGTCACAGGAATCCTGCCATTTCAAAAGGGCCTGAAAGTGTGCTGGGGGAAACCTGAGGTTCCTCTTTATGTTCTGATAATGTAAATTTTCTTACTGTGAAAACTGATGACTGGGAGCTGATCACTTAAGATTTAATTCTCTTTACGTTTGGACTTTGCTTAGATCTCACTGTCACATTTTATGGCTTTTTGGTCCCACTGTCTTACTAACGTTTTCTTTCGGGGGTGGGGAGCTTTTGTTTGTCTTTACAAGTGCCACGGGCCAATTTATTAAAAGCAACTTGTCCCGTACCGCCCGGAAATTAAAAACAAAAGCGATTTTAACTATGAGCAGGAACTTACTGCAAGTGGCCAGTTGATGCAAGTCAGCATTCGGTAAATTCTGAAGATATAGACGACGTAGAAAATGAAGATCATAACTAAGTCAAACATGGAGATAATTTTGAAGTAGGTATATGTACTGTGACCGGCCACCGGTGAAGCAATGATGCAAATAAATCCGATCAGGAGCAATAGCTGAAAGGCAAGAGACAAAAGAGGGTGAATGAACAGGAAAGCAAAACAAACTCACTCCCAACTCGCAGTAAAATGCTCAAAATGAAGAAAAGAAAAATCACTTTTTGAAGAGTCAGAAGAAAACAATTCCAACTAAAGTAACGATAATAAAACTTAAAAGTTTAGATTACAAAAATATATTGGGGGAGGGAATACACTGGGGTACAATCCAAAGCAAACTTACAGCATGCAACTCAGTTTGAAGTCAGTGGAACTTTGCTGTAAATGTTTGTTGGGTTCAAGCTGCCAAGAGGGCAGGTTTCTAAAGACGGCAACAGTTACAGTGGTACCTCGGGTTACATACTCTTCAGGTTACAGACTCCGCTAATCCAGAAATAGTACCTCACGTTAAGAACTTTGCTACAGGATGAGAACAGAAATCGTGCTCCGGTGGCACGGCAGCAGTGGGAGGCCCCATTTGCTAAAGTGGTGCATCAGGTTAAGAACGGACCTCTGGAATGAATTAAGTACTTAACCCGAGGTACCACTGTACTACTGTTTTGCTAAGTGGGGCTTAGGACATCAGCAAACAGAGGTCCAGAACACAATGGACATCTTAAGGCAGCCCTGTTCAGGGAAGTTTTTAACGTGTGATATTTTACTGTATTTTTGGTTTTTATGGAAGCCGCCCAGAGTGGCTGGGGAGGACCAGCCAGATGGGCGGGGTATAAATAATAAATTATTATTATTATTATAATGGCTGCATGCTAACACTATGTCTCATTCTAGACTAAAAGAGGAAAACCTCGCATTTAAGAATAATTTACAGTTGATTTAAATATGAAAAGACCACATTTGGTCCTGTACCTCTCTCCACAAGAGCCAACTAGATTGCCTGTAAGAAGCCTGCAATGTGGACCAGAACTCAATAGCATCTTCCCCTCCTCTTGTGCTACCCAGAAATTATATCCAAAAACCCACAACCTCCAGTACTTAAGGAAGTACAGCGGTAGCTCGGGTTACATACGCTTCAGGTTACATACGCTTCAGGTTACAGACTCCGCTAATCCAGAAATAGTACCTCAGGTTAAGAACTTTGCTTCAGGATGAGAACAGAAATCGTGCTCCGGCAGCACGGCGGCCCCATTAGCTAAAGTGGTGCTAAAGAACAGTTTCAGGTTAAGAATGGACCTCCGGAACGAATTAAGTACTTAACCCGAGGTACCACTGTACACATAAGATTCCTTAAGCTTCAAAATTCCAATATCCTCCACATTTAGAGACATCCAGCCATTTACAGAGGCCGCCAATCTTTCTGGGCCTGTGAGTACATTTGCAAACCAGAGAAACTGTGCTGGGCACCATGTACATAATCAGAACACAGATGCAACACACAAATACACTTATTCTTCCCCTGCCAGACATTCCATTTAGCAGCTGCAAAAGACTATGTCTTTCAAAACTAATCTCAGAATGGCAGGTGGGGGAGGACAGGACCCCATAGGCGCTGGGGAAGGCATTTGGATTAGATACTGGGAAGGTTAGCAAGCTCTACAACCAATGAAGGTGCTTCTGATTAGCTGCATTCTGGCATTATACAACTCAACATTACATAGAATATGCAAACAGGGACGAGCATGCTACCTCTGCCCCCATCACTGTACAAGAGTTGGAAGGCAGAGTGTCTGCAGCGAAGGCATTGTGCTCCTATAGATTCCCCACAAGATGCAGAATACTGGAGAAATCCAGGCTCTAGACTGCCATGGGAAGTTTCCATTAAGCACCAGAGGTCCCTCACTGCAGATGGCTGTCCTTCAACTCATGCAAGGTGACAGGGACAGGTGGAACAGAAGTGGCATTTTCCTCCCCATCCACATATTCTACTTACTCATCCATATAATGCCCGAATTGAACTGCTCTTTCAAACCAATTCAGCAACCCCTCATGGAGATAAACGATTCCACTGCACAGATTTGAGATTTCAGAACCTTCGCTTCCATGAAGGGTAGCTCTTCATGCAAAAAAGGAAACCCCAGAAAAAGCGGCTATCTTCATTGTAAAGGTAAAGGGACCCCTGACCATTAGGTCCAGTGGCAGATGACTCTGGGGTTGCAGTGCTCATCTAATTTTATTGGCCGAGGGAGCCGGCGTACAGCTTCCGGGTCATGTGGCCAGCAAACCAGAGCAGCACACGGAAACGCTGTTTACCTTCCCACCGGAGCAGTACCTATTTATCTACTTGCACTGGCATGCTTTTGAACTGCTAGGTTGGCAGGCGCTGGGACCAAGCAATGGGAGCTCACCCCATCGCGGGGATTCAAACCGCCGACCTTCTGATCAGCAAGCCCTAGGCTCTGTAGTTTAACCCACAGCGCCACCCGCGTCCCTTGTTTTCATTGAGGTGCATACAAAACCTTGATCTCCCAGAGCACACCAGTCTACCAGTTCTCAATCAATATGTATTTTTGAATTTATAATCTGTAAAAAAAAATTATTCCTTCTAGGTAAAAGTTAAGAGATCATATTTCCCCCCCCCTCTCTGTTAGCGGGGTAATGCAATCCCACTTGAGAAATCCTCAAAAAATAATAATGAAAGGGATAGGGAAGAGATCCTGGAAAACTCATGCACCTTCTCTAGTGAAAGATGGATTCCAGTCCCCACTGTGCAATGCAACAAGTGTGTGCAAGATAAGAGATTTGATACAATAAGCCGTAACTTGACAGTTACACATTGAGCAGAATTCCCTTTCTAAATCTCAGATGTCGGGGTTACCATGTGCAATACTTTCTCTAGATTTTTTTTTTCAAGGTTAGAGAAAGTAGTTGACAGTAAAACACCTCAATTCCCAGGGTCTTCTTTGAACAGGAAACACATTTTTTGTGCCTTCCTGTTTGACTCAGCTGAATCTGCTATTACTAGTTCTTTACAATGCTACTCAAATCACAGCAAATCTTTCAATATTTATAGAGCCCTCCTTTTTTAAGAAACAAGCAAACAAAAATGCCATACTGAATTGGTTTTACATTTTGAAACCTCTGAGGAAATTCAGCTGCAGCTGAAATAGAGAGCCCTCACATGGGGAAAAGATTACAGCAAAAATGTTTCTCTTTCTAGCAAGTGATGATTTTTAATGCAGGCTTTCCAGAGCTAGCTTCCAAGCTAAAAAAAGACAAAGGGTTTAACAATCTTGAGCTTTAATCCTGTCATGTCCTAAAGAAATCTTAAATTGACATGTTTTCAATTCATATGCAGATACAAAGCTTCCCCTTATTATTATTTTTTCAGATCTAGAAGAGAACCATGCACAACAAACACAAAACAAAGGTAAAGGGCTGGATCCAAATGTGCCCTTTCACGAAGGAGGCTTGTTTCTGGGGGGGGGGGGACCCTAACAAGTGTAGCTGCCCTACCTGTGCCCCAAGGCACTTAATTTATCAAACCGTTACGGCAAGCTTGTAGGTCTTCCGTCCTTTGTAGTTCTTCCAGGGCATCTAAGCGGCGCTATTAGAAGTGCGCGCGGAGGGAAGAAAGATGAAGAGCAGGCGAGAGTTGCAAGACGAGGAAAACGGGAAGGAAGGAAGGAGGCAAAAGGGAAAGCAGTAAGTGGAGGGAGGCAGGCAGGCAGGCAGATGAGCCGTCGGAAAGGCTGAGCAGAGCAGAGCCGACCCCATGGCCGCGGAGGAAGTCACTGGCGGAGCGCGAAAGACGACGGAAAGCAAACTTTTTTTGAGTCCATGGTCTCTCCCGCCTTCGGAGGCGCAGATACAGCTCCTCGCCACGGACGCACGAGGGGGCCTAGGTACGCCTCTGCGTAAATACAGCAAGTCACAGTTGCTAGGCCATCGACTCTGAAACAAGCAGCCAGCTCAGCTTCCCCCCCCCCCAACACCCAAACAGGGTTGACCAAAGGCGGCGTGGAGCGAGAACAGCGCGAAGAGCCGCGCTTCTCCTTCGCGCGCTCGACGGCGCAATGTGGCGCCCGCTCTTCTGGAGAGAAGCGCGCTGGCGGGAGCAACACGTGCAAGAAGCCCTCCGCCTCTCATTGGAGCGCCAGATTTAGGCCACGTCGTCCTCCCTTGAGGAGGGGGAAAAAGGCGCTTGGCAAAACAAACTCCAAAACTTTGGAGAAGGAACCCGGACCCCCGGAATCCCTGGACCGCCCGCCTCGGCCCCCTTACCATCTGGGCCACTTTGAGCAAGGCGGAGCAAGAGCCCGCGTAGCCTCTGTCCAGCAGCCCGGAGTCCGGCCCCGAAGCCGAAGGCGCCGCCGAGGACGTCGACGCGCCGCCGCCGCCGCTGCTGGCGTCGGTGCGGACCACCTGCAGCCCGCGAGACATCTTGGCGGGCGAGGAGACGGCGCGGCCGGCCCTTCCCTCGCGCGCTCTTCCTCCTCCTCCGCGCTGCTAGGACCGCTATGGGGCTCCGGAGGCGGGACAGGGCGGGGCGGGCTGGGTTGGCTGGCTGGCTGCAGCGCCTCTCTGCACAGCTGGAGCGGGGCGGAGAGGACGAGCGAGGCTCCGGCGCCCCTGAGTCTCTTCCACCAGGCGGCCTGGTGGAAATCTGTGGCGCGCGTCCTGAAGAGGGAAGGTGGGCGGCAGCCGCCTCAGACAGAAGCCGTTTCCTAAAGGGACGGTGGGGGTGTCAAGCCAGAGCTTTAGCAGCCGGGACAGCGGGGCTCGGCTGCAGGGGACGAGGAGGGGACCCCCCACCCTCCTTAACAAGAACTCTTAAAACTTGAGTTTACACGGTGCGAGAGTTCACACGAGACTCCCGGGCCCGAGGCCTCTCTCGCGGACGCTTTTATTTGCCTATCCCGTCTCAGGCAGAGGGGCCGACTCTCCTTTTACGTTACTGAGGGAAACGCTTTCTACAAAACTTAACTCCACAATAAATATTTCAGTCGTCGAGGTGTCACAAGACTGCTGGGCTGTTCATTTTTAGAAGCTTTAAAAACAATGACGGCGTCTTTCTCTTCCTCCACCCCACCCCCACCTAATATCCGGCAATTTGGAAAGTCGTCTTTTAGCTTTGCAACTTCCTTTCCGAAAGGTCTTTCAGGGTTCACTCTTCTGTTTAATAAAAGTAGGTGGTTACCGTAATTACACGGAGGTGCAAGTGATGGGCTTTCCATTCTATGCTACCAGCTTCCTCTACAAAGGTTAAGCTCTGGACTGTTTTGTTTTAATTGGATCTTAATAGGCAGCAAATAAAACTCTAGATTGTGAACAAAACATGCTAACAGGAGGTTCTGGTGGGAAAAACAAAAACCCTTCCCTATTTATCTCCTGCTGCTTGTGCAGAAACAGTGGCATAATAGTTGAGCATTTTATTCAACTTCTCCTTTTATAAGGCACTATGGTGTTTTTTTTTATTTAAAAAAAGAAGACTGCTCAATTGCTTCAATTTAAGTTTTTACTCATTATCGCCAACTTTCCCCAATAAGGAATATAATTGAGGTGAGTGATATGATAATGTAGGCACCAATTTGGGAATGTCCACTTCCCTTTATCGCCTCTACAGCGGGAGAGCCATGTTAGTCTATTACTACAGCAAAATCAGCAGGGAGCCTTGCAGCACCTTATAAGACCAGCAAATTTTATTATGGCATAAGCTTTCATTTTGTGGGTGGCGCTGTGGGTAAAACCTCAGCGCCTAGGACTTGCCCGATCGCATGGTTGGCGGTTTGAATCCCCGCGGCGGGGTGCGCTCCCGTCGTTCGGTCCCAGCGCCTGCCAACCTAGCAGTTCGAAAGCACTCCGGGTGCAAGTAGATAAATAGGGACCGCTTACCAGCGGGAAGGTAAACGGCGTTCCATGTGCTGCGCTGGCTTGCCAGATGCAGCTTGTCATGCTGGCCACGTGACCCGGAAGTGTCTGCGGGCAGCGCTGGCTCCCGGCCTATAGAGTGAGATGAGCGCACAACCCTAGAGTCTGGCAAGATTGGCCCGTACGGGCAGGGGTACCTTTACCTTTAAGCTTTAATTGACGAATACTTACCACACAATTAATTTAAGGAGTTTGCTGTCACAGCCTACTTAGATGGGTTTAGCATGTCATTGGGAAACAGGCGCTGGTACTCACAAAGAATCAGAATTGTAGAGTTGGAAGGGACCCCCAAGGGCCATCTAGTCCAACCCCCTCCAATGCAGGAATCTCAACTAGATCATACGTAACAGATGGCCATCCAACCTCTGCTCTAACAAAGGAAGAGTCTACCACCTCTCTTGGGAGTCTGTTCCACTGTCCAACAGCTTTTTACAGTTGGAAAGTTCTTCCTGATGGCTTAGTTGGAATCTCCTTTTTTCTAGCTTGAATCGATTGGTTCTGGTCCTAGCCTCCTGTACAGAAAACAAGCTTGCTCCACCCTCCATGTGGCAGCCCTTTAGATATTTGAAGATGGCGGGTGGCGCTGTGGAGGGACGCGGGTGGCGCTGTGGGTAAAAGCCTCAGCGCCTAGGGCTTGCCGATCGAAAGGTCGGCGGTTCGAATCCCCGCGGCGGGGTGCGCTCCCGTTGCTCGGTCCCAGCGCCTGCCAACCTAGCAGTTCGAAAGCACCCCGGGTGCAAGTAGATAAATAGGGACCGCTTTCTAGCGGGAAGGTAAACGGCGTTTCCGTGTGCAGCTCTGGCTCGCCAGATGCAGCTTGTCACGCTGGCCACGTGACCCAGAAGTGTCTCCGGACAGCGCTGGCCCCCGGCCTCTTGAGTGAGATGGGCGCACAACCCTAGAGTCTGTCAAGACTGGCCCATATGGGCAGGGGTACCTTTACCTTTACCTTTTATCGTATCTCCTCTCAAGTCTCGTCTTTTCCAGGCTAAACATACCCAGTTCCCTCAACGGTTCCTCATAAGGCTTGGTTTCCAGACCACCCTCTGACAACAATGGTGAGCAGCACCTCTCCAGGAATTCAGGCAGAGATCTTTGCAGCCATAGCTTTATATGTCAGGAATGGAACTTCTATCCTTATTTTGCCCATACCCCATGGGCCAATTTTGACAGGTTGGAACAAGAGTGCCCACCTGTCAAAGTTCAAAGGGGCTTGCTGAGATCAGCAGAAATTTCAGCTTCACCCCAAATACACAGGAGGAATATGTAATCCTTGTCCCTGCTAGTGTGAATAAAGGACCTTATGCATTTCTTACTCTCTTCGTGTGTAGTTTGTCTAATTTCTGTGTGCAGGGATGTATTGTACAAAAAGAGATAGTGCACATGGTCTCCACAAAAACCTTACCTTCACAGTAACATTCCAAGGGACCACAACAAAGGTTCATTTATCTCTCATTCAGACGTATGGGGGGTGGGAGCATTATCATAACACAGCAAGCCCAGAGACCAGACTAAGAAAAGAGTTAACGTACACCTGACCATAAGACGTGCCTAGTTTTTAGAGGAGGAAAGGGGGAAAGCCCCATTTTTGGGGGATCACCTCACAGTTGTGCAGCTTCTTTTGCAAAGGAGAAAAGCCCCTTTTTTGAGGATCAGCTCAAAGTTGTTGAGCTTACTTTGCAAAGGGTTTTTATGGGGTTCAACTCACAGTTCTGCAGCTTTAGGAAAGGAAAGGGAGCCGTTTCTACAGTTTCCAAACAGATAATCTAATCAGCCAGTCACATGTCGCTGGGGAAACAGCCTCCATCTGCAGAACAATGGAGGCCTGGGCAAGGGAGCGGGGCCAGAAAGGGAGCCAGCGATTGACCGCACATTCGCTCCATAAGACGCACAGTCTCCCTTACTTTTTAGTAGGGAAAAAGTGTGTCTTCTGGAACGAAAAATACGGTAGCCTACTAGACCATTATACCATTTCCCCCTTTAAATCAGGAGAGAAGTATTTTGGCTTCACAGGCCAGGTCCTTATTAGGTCCATCAATCACCCTCCTCCACCACCTGTTCAGAAGATGACTTGGTTCCCCTGTCCAGAAGGGGTGATTGAAACCCCTGCTGAAATGGAGGAAGGGGTTTGCTTTTTCTTCCCCTGAAGGTATCCTGCGTGGCAGAGGGTATAGATTTTTCTTCAGGGTTTACTCCTGAAGCCTCTTTCTCATGGATGAGTTTACAGTGGTACCTCTGGATGCGAACGGGATCCGTTCCGGAGCCCTGTTCGCATCCTGAGTAGAACGCAACCCGCGACTGTGTGTGCACGGGGCACGATTCGCCGCTTCTGCGCATGACATCATTTTGAGCATTTGCGCATGCGGCAAAACCCGGAAGTAACGAGTTTCATTACTTCCGGGTCGCCGCGGAGCGTAACCTGAGAATGCTCAACCTGAAGCATATTTAACCCAAAGTATATTTAACCCAAGGCGTTTCTGTGCGCTGCTCTGGTTCACCAGAAGCGGCTTAGTCATGCTGGCCACATGACCCAGAAGCTGTATGACGGCTCCCTCAGCCAATAAAGCGAGATGAGCGCCGCAACCCCAGAGTCGGTCACGACTGGACCTAATGGTCAGGGGTCCCTTTACCTTTACGACTGTAACTGCAAGGCATCAGTTTTCCTTCTAGAAGGGCGACCACCTTCCCAGGTTGACGAGCCCCATCTGCTCCTCCGTTCCCTCTATAGCACGTGTAGAAATCGCTGCCTTGACCATTGGATCTTCTATTGGCCTCATCCACTCAACCCACCAGAGCCTGTGCTACTGTAACAAATGACCAAACTTGATCCAGTGTTCATGCAGCTGCAAGAGGCCTTCCCTGATACCCCTACAGTCCATTGCACCTGCTGAAATTAGGCATGAAAGGTTTCTGCTGTAGTTAACGTAATACGTTGTGGTCTATGCTTGGTTGTAGAGTGTGTGTGCGTTGCAGGGGATTCGACTAGATGACACTTGGGGTTGCTTCCAACACTACAATTCTATTGCAGATGACAGGATCTCTTGTTTGCAAGTGTGCCCAGAGGCCCAAAAAGGATGGTGACCCCATGTCTCACAGAAAGAGAGAAGAAGAAGGGGTGGCTCTGCCTTGTTTGGAGCTCTCATTCCTGCCCAGCATGCTGGTTCTTGACAGATTGGTCCTGAAGAAATGAGACCTTTGACAGGAAGAAGGCCTGCTTACCGAGTCAAAGATCAAGGTATAAATAATACTCCTTGGATTGACATTCCACAATTTTTGAATTAGTAAGTGAAATAAAGAACACTGCAACAATTAATTTTTTTTAAAAAAACTTTTGTTTTTATGTACATTGAAATGGTTCGAGGGAATACAAATCCAATACTTTACAAAATGTGCAACGAAGGAGGAGAAGGTCATGGCACCACACAGGTTGGAAATGGTTTGCTTTTTATATATATAAAAAAATAGCTTGGTAATCGTAATACGCAGATTGAAAGATTAAAAAAAAAATCGAATCATCTCCAACATAGATTCTGCTGTAATATCATAGCACCGATATTGCTATTGGACAAATCCATAATCAAGGAAGAACTTGTTTGTCAGCAATCAAATGAAAAAGAACTTATGTCTGAGATAAGAATGTACAAAATGTGAACTTCCAGAGGACGGTTTTCTGTTTCTTCCACATAGCCACCCAATATGAGCCAGTTACTTAAAAAGTAATTTCTTTAAGACTGCAATCC